TACTTCTTAGTTGGACGTATGGTTCATTTCATAGGATGTAGCCCACACCTGACAGTGCTATCAGGCATAGGAACCTGAGGCGAGACAGCTGAAAGGTCATGGAAGAAAGCCCAATACGAATATTCTGTTAAATAGATGATGTAGTATTAAACTGATTTCTAATGACTTTACCAATAGGTTAAATATGGCTTAACTGGCAGTATAAAATTCATTGTAAATATAATACATGCTTGAACTAAACAAAACAGTTCTTTTAGCATTTTTAAATTTTCTATGGCTCAGTTACTTGAGAAATCTATTCAGTTCTAATCTAATCTAATCAATTCTAGTTTAGACATATTTCCTGTGAAAAATATGTGCACATCCATTCCTATCAATGTACTTTTTCTTTGGCTTACAATTTGAACTGGAACCCTGGATTTACAAAGCTCCTTGCATTTACTTAAACCCAAGATACTGTGTGGCATTCAGGGTCACACCAATCAAACATCTGCAGCCAGAGCCAGTAGTGAAACAGTCTGCGCAAATAAGCTACTCCTTTTGAAAATTTCAACTGATTTCATTACTGCAGAATATCAAAACCTGGAGCCTTCCCAGGCTCTTCCGTGACTCATGGCCTCATATCTTATGTCTGCTCAACCCTGGAAATCCAACCAAAAGCCAACCGTTCCTTCACACCCCTCTGCTAATGCCCCTCTCACGGTGCTATCCCTTGCCAGACTGCTGCAATAGCATGCTTTTCTCACTCTTATTTTTCCTATTGTCCATTTTCTATATCTTAAGAGTGATTTAAAAAATTGAAAATCAGATAGTGTCATGTCTTTGGGTTTCTGATTGGTTCAAATATCTAAGAAAAACCCAAGCTGTTAAATCCATGTAGTCCTAAATTTCACTTCCATAGTGCTTCCTCTCACTCTCAGCTCCAGTTACTCTGGCCTCTTTGTCCTGTGTGAAGCACGACAAGCACAGTGCTCCTGCCTCCCGGTCTTTGTCCTTGACTTTCCTACACCACGGATTGTTCTCCCATTTTCTTCTGGTCTCTGCTTAATAGTCATCTAATAGGAGAAGCACACTCCAACTTGCCATCCCCTCCTCCATTATTCTTTTCCTTCACTGTTCTGTTTTGCACTAGAGCACACAATTCTGCCTTACACGTTATACACTTTCATCCTTCTCTTCATCTCTCCCAGTAGAACATATGACCAGGAGGGCAAGAGGTCCCTCTTTTGTTCATAGTTCTTTTCCCTTCTTCTCCCTAACCCTAACCCTAACCTATGAATATTCTGTTTATAACCCCTGCCTTTATTCACCACCACAACTGAAAATCCAGTCTCTGTGACCTCAGTCCCTGCCTGTCTATTCTTGGCAATTATTAAGCCAAATTATAGGTTTTTGTTCTTGTTGTTTGTAATTGTTTATGTTTTGAGAATTTCATACATTTGTGTGCTATCTGCAACATTTCCACTGTTCCTGCTGTTCCCTTCTCCATGCCCTCCCATATCATTCCCTGCTCCCTCTTCATTTCTTGTCCTCCCCCTTGAATATATATGTATATATATTTCAACTCATCGAGTCCGTTGAGTGGTGCTCATGTGTAAGTATGTTTAAGGCTGACCATTTGGGATTAGATAATTGATCAGGGAACTATCCCTGGAGTAAACTGATCCCCTTCCTTCAGCATCTATTGATTGCCTGTAGCCTTTCATCTAGATGTGGAACCCATCTACATTGTTATGTCAACTGGTGGTGTTATTGTGTGGATCATATTAAACAACCACACTGTAGCTGTTCTGCATGAAATACAGAAAAAAATCAACAGAAAAAGAAAAAATTTGTGTGAACTTGTACCAGGATCTTAGGATTTTAAGAATTCAGTAGACCAAATATGCTGACTTCTGACCCATAATGCCAGCCCCTGTAGGAAGTCTCACCCTGCAACTCTATAAAACAAATTTAAGTAATTTGTCCTCATCCTAGGCAGCCAGCTGATTGTCCCCTCTGTGGGGTTAGCTAAGGACTCCAGGGTGGGCTGACTCAGGGTATGCCAAGCTGATCGAAGGACACCTGTTGTACCTCATTTCTAAGCAAAGTGAATGGAGTTTTAGAGAAACGGAATGCAAATTATGGCAACTCTGTTCCAAAGTAATGTTCTGGAGGGTGGTGGTGGATGTAAACTGGGGGCAAAATCTGCACTGCTGCAATGAAAATAAAAACTAATTTCGAAAATGAGATGCAAAACCAGTCCAGCTGTATTGAGCTTCCACACTTACTTCGCTTACTGCCTGCCTGAGCAGTCAACTTGCCTGACCTTTCTTCTCCCAATCTCTATGACACAGTGGAAGCTGTGCTATGAGGAATTGCAGTGGCACTGATCAAGTTTTTCTCATGTCCATGTCCTCCTCCAGTTCCTTTTGCATTCAGCAGACAGAGTGAGATGGCTTCTGATGTCAGTCAGATTACACTTTCCCTTGTCTGAGATCGCTCAGAGACTGCTTATTTTCCTCAGGTAAAGACCACCATTTTGGAAGGGGGAAATGACTCAGTGGGTAAAATGCTTTTCATGAAAAGACGAGGACCTGAGTTCATAGCCTCAATATCCACATAAAAGCCGGGCATGGTGGCATATATCTGTAACACTAGTGGACTGTGCGTGTGTGCAGGTGCCTGCAAAGTTCAGGAGAGGTCCAGGTAATTGTGAGCTACCCTGTGTGGGTGCTGGGAATCAAACCTGGGTCCTCTGCGAGATTAGCAAGTACACTTAACTGCTGAGCCACCTCTCCTGCTCCAAAGGCCAGCATTTCATCAAACACTGCATGGTTTTCCTGGTGTACCTGTCTCTTCGGTCTCCAGCTTCACCTGACTGCTCCCCCTTTTCCTGTGAGGCATCAGCCACACGTGCCCCCTTTGGTTTGTTGAACAGTCTGTGCTTCTTCGCACCCTGAACATACGCTCTGCCACCCCCTTCCTGTGCACTCATTTCCCACTTCCACTCACCTCTAGTTATTGTTCTGCTTTCTGAGCATGTCCCCAGGTGGGATCAGCTCCTCGTGTTTTTCACTCTGCTGACATCCCATTTGCTTCAGGATTGCACATGCATAACTCTACAGTCATATGCTGTGTCTCCTGCTTGTTTACCAATTCCTTTAGGGAAGGGACCATGCCTAATTGATTCCTAAGGACACTCTAGCACCTAGCTGAGTGCCTGCCTATAGCAAGAATTCAATAAATAGATGGTGCCTAAAGAAGGAGTAAAATAATAAACTCAGCCAGCAATGTTGCTAGCTTTCTGGCCCCTGAGGTAATATATTTTAATAGTATGGCTGCAGGATGCTAAAAGGTCACCTTAGGAATCAACAGTAAAGAGACATTATGCCTGTTTAATTCTCTGATTTGCTGCCAGTGAGGATTCCAAAGGAAGAATGAATGTGGAAAATTCTCATCTCTACTGAGCAGAAATGGCCTGCTGCTCTGTGTCTCTGATGTTTGAATAGTTAAGAGTCTCTCAGGCAGCTCCTGAAGTAACGTTCCAATTCCATCATCATTTCTTCCTTACTCTCTACTTTACAGGTACCCTCACATTCTTAGCCTCAGTTACAATTATTTTGATAACTGATGCCCATTCTATCTGACAGCTACCACATTGAGGCCTTTGTGATGATAGGTTACACAGGGCAGGCTCAGGTCCTCACTACATGCTCTTGACTTCGTATAGATCATGGCCATGCCAGGGAAGGATGAGATACTGTTTCCATTAGAGATGGAAGGCTTTAAAATAAGAGACCAGTGTTCAGACCTGCTGATGTGACCGTTAGTTAAGCACCAGAGTGCTTATATGAATATCTTCAGTGAACTACTCTTCTCAATTAATGTGTCCATTTTCACACTGCTGCCTTCAGCGGCAGTGAGATTGTTTCCATGTCATGAAACTTGTCTATTAACAGGTAAAATAACTATGAACAAAGCTGAGCATGGTGATGCGAACCTGTAATTCTAGAACTTGAGAAGCAGACACAGGAAGATCAGGTGTTCAAGGCCAACTTATGAGATTTATGCCAACCTGGAGTACATGACACCTAGTCTCAAAAACAACAAAAACATCTACACTGAAAATCCTACACTTAAGGCTCAGGGAGCATCACAGAAGAGGAGGTAGAAAGATTGTAAGAGCCAGAGGAACAGGATGTTTGCTGCTAGATAATACTTTCTACATGGTAGGGAAGATGTACCCTCAAAATGGTTCAGTGGTTAAGAGCACTTGCTATTCTTGCAGAAGATCTGAGTTCCTTGCACCCATACAGAGAGAATCAAAATGGGCTATAACTCTAGTACCAGGGGATCCACCATCTTCTTCTGGCCTCATCAGCAAAGCTTATATGTGGTGTACTCTCATACAAACCGGTAAAACATGCACACACTAAAGTAAGACAGAAATAAGCTCAAAAGTGCTGGACCACCAGGCTCATGCCCCTTTATAGGCCACTAACAGCATCAGCCTATGCTGTTTGTATAGTAAGGGTGCATGAGGACTGTTTTGGGGTCACTCAAGCTCCTGTAAGTAACCCTCACCCATGTTCCTGTAAGTAATCCTAAAAACCTTACTGCTTTACCAACTGGGACTTAGATGAAATAATGGCTTTGGTCTGTTACCAGTACAGACAATCGATAGTACAATTTGACTATCTGCGGCCAAATGTGTTCATGTCTCCCCAATAAAAGAAACACATCAATGAGGTAATCTAGGCTTCAGTGCATGTAGTGGAATGTTGAGTGAGGATGGAAGGGAACCATGTTCTAATGCTAACGCCCTCATTGGTAGTTTTAATTCCACTCCTAATCAAACCCGCCTTTCAGCACTGAGTCCTGTATGCTTCCGTTTCAGTTGGCAAACACGTTTCAAAGCATGAATAGGATCATGAGATACAATAGCCATGTGTGAAAGTGCACTCTGTACCTACGTCCTGTATCAAAGACCATGTTGAATCCTCCCATCTCTGACTCACCTCCACCAGCTTGTTGGCATGTTCACGGAAAACCTGGGCGTACTCCTTCACTTCCTTCTCATTCCCACTCTTCGCAGCCTCAATGAGAACTAGCAAAGGGACGTTGGTTTCCAAGAAAGAGTCTGATATGTGATCCATCACAGCTTTCCGAAGCTATAGTTAAAACAAAAGCAAAAGCAGGTATGCCGTTAAGGAATAGGACTGTCAACTGTCAATCTGTTGACCTAAATCATTTTCCAGCCCTTGTCCCAGTGTATGTAATTATGTTGGTTACTTTTAATTGTCAATTTGATACAACCTAGAATCATCTGGGAAGATAGTTTCAATGTGGGATTGCTTTGATCAGGTTGGCCTGTGAGCATCTTTGGGAAATTATCTTGATTGTGTTAATTGATATGGGGAGAACCAGTCCACTGTGGATGTTACTATTCCTTAGGCAGGGGTCCTGAACTGCATAAATGAAGAGGGAAGTCTGAGCACTAAGAGGTATGCATGCAGTCATTCTCTCTCTCTTCTTGGCTGTGGACATGACTAGCTGCTTCAAGATCCTGTCACTTTAACTTACCTGAAAAAATGGACTGTAACCTGGAATTGTAAATGAAATAAACACTGTTCTCCTCAGTTGCTTTTTGTCAGAGTGTTTTATCACAGCCACAGAAATAAAACTAGGACAATATTGGTCTAACTTTCTTTTTAATTTTCACTTATAAAATCCAAGAAAAACAGGGTGAAGACTGGTATCTGCCTATGGATTAAATGTTATACCTCCACTTGAAGGTCAAGTGTTGCCTGTAGCTCACTACACTATGAACCCTCTCTGATCACAAGTCTGTTTTCATCTTTGCTGAACCAACTCTAAGATATCTGAATCATGATAAAGTTGAAGAATGAGGAGATTTCTAGTTATTAATCAGTCATTCTTTGGAAAGAATGCTAAGACTCCATGCCACACCTGAAATTTTACCACTGTGCAGCCTCCTTCCTTATATGCAACCATTTCATAGAGGTAAAAAACAGTAAACATCTGACAATCTCAAAAAACATTTCAGCCCAGATGCTGTGGTGATTCAGTTGCTATGCTCCAGGAAGAAATACTTCAAATACTGCTTCAAGGTAAGTAAGAATACAAAACCCTGAATCTTCTAACAATACACAATTACACATCATTCCTACACTGTTGAAGTAAGCAGGGTAGCTGCATGAAAACAAAATAAAACTGTCTCTGAACAATAACCTTGGTACTACTTTATTCATAATTGTCTAAGTATATATGGGATGTAAATAAAAATAAGAACAAAATGAGATAATCTGTACATTTCTCAAACAAATATATTAATACCCATCTAGAAGAATGCAAGCGAGTCACTGACAAGGTGACACACACATTTGTGACTGGTCAGAAGAAGGAGAATTGTAAATAAACCCCAATTATTTTTTGCACTAATTACCATAAAGTATGCATGAACATATGTTTAAGTTGGTTTGACTTTATACAGAATTGATTTGACATTTCCCCTTGTAAAATATAGTAAAGATTTATGTAAAGTTAGTGTCACTTAGACACTCATTTGGCAAAATAAATTAAATTACTGCCTGGAAACACTATTAGTTATTGGTGATCTCAGATTTTCGAGGTATGCATCATGTGCCAAATGCTCAAGTAAGTTCTTTACATCATATGGTGTTTGATTCATTCAATAATATTATGAAGTATGGAGGGAGCATTAGTAAAGCAGTTCTTCAAAGTAAGAGTTGAGACTCAGACAGTTAATGAGTGAGAGCGCCTTTGGTCCTGAAGTGTCAAGGAACAGAAGAAGCAGTAAGAAGACCCAAAGGACACCTTGAAAGGAGCACTTCAAGGTAAACTGCCAAAGCTGCTTTCAAGGCAGTGATTCACATGGAGAAAAGAATTGAGCTTGTAATAACAAGTGAACTTGACAGGGACAAGAGAGACAACAGAAAGAGAGAGTCCACATAAGGGATGGAGTGGGAGGGAGATGAGGAAGGCCACCTCACCAACCAAGCCGCTACATTTTCATTACCTAAAATACAGCAGAAGACAAGCTCTGTGAAGCAGAAAAGCCACCTACATAGGCTCTTCCTAAGGCTTCAAGAGGATGCTTGCTCAACTGAACCACTTAAAATTATCAAGCTTAAATTTCACATAAAGCTATAAGAAAACAGAATAAGTAATATATTGTTCCCACAGACATTGAAAATACGCCTATAAAACAGGCTAAAATGGTAACTTTAGAAAAAAAATAACATACTATTTCAAACTAGCTAACAGACTTACAGGAAAAATGGAAGATAAGAAAAAACAACACAAATCTCAATAAGCAACAGCTAGGAAATGGGTATGCTGGTTTACAACTAGAATTCCAGAACTTGTGAAACCAAGGTGGGAGACTGTTGAGAGTTTAAGGCTATATAGTAAAAATAAAATTTAAAAACAACTAAAAATCATGTCTTAAAATTAAAGAAATAATTGCAAATAAAAAATAGTCAATTAAAAATACTGAACCAGTGGGGGAGGTACAGATATGTGAGGGGTATAAATATGATTAAGATGTATTATATGAAATGCACAAAAATTCAATAAAATACATATTGAAAAATATTGAAGTAAAATAAATATTGTGAATGCCTTAGGAAGAATAAAAGGCAAAGAGAAGGAAAACACTTA